GATGAATATACTCTGAAAAAGCTCATTTTACTACATCAGAGAAAACTGCTTTTAAAATTTTGGCTGCCCAGCCATCTTTTGTAATCTGTTACTGTTGTTTGGTAATGTTAACCAAAAAATTTATTTAGTACTACTGTGGTTAAGCCCTTTGACCATCAGTTTACTAATCCACCAAATGGGGCCAACAAAACCTATCTTATAAAGGTCTTTGTATGGGTTAAATGAGAGTTTATATGAAAGTACCTGTAACATTTTCTGACACAAAGTAGAAGTTCAGCAAGTGTTAGTTAATGTATTATTACTTTTCCCATGTAAGGGAAATAAACAGGCTTTTGCACAGTAGATCATTTTAGTGGAAAACTTGAACAAGATAAAAACAATGGCACTTAAAATATCTTTGCTCAGTTTTTAAAAATGTTTGTCTTTAAAAGTTTTGTATTAACTAATATTGGAACAACTTTTACACCTTTTGTCACTCACTTTGTAAGTGAGATCTTGTGTGGAAGAGTGATTCATCCTGATTGAAGGTGAGTGAGTGTCCTACCAGGGCACTCAGAAGTCCTGTTAGCGTGGCAGTGGATCCTTTGGAACCTTACAGTTTAACTTGTTTACGCTGCTGCTGTCAGTTTCTGATTAGCTCAGCCACGCCCGTGTTTTGACCTATACAGTTTGCTTTTCAAGCTGTTCCCAGGATGGCTAAATTAGAAGAGTCACGGGTAGAGGCGTCTGAGTTCTTTCCCTTCAGTGGTGAGGTGAGGTGGGGATGTGGATGATGATAGCACAAAGTGTTTTGTGACTGACTGCGACACAGGATTGTCATTAAATTCGTTGTACTCTTTTAATAAAAACAGGATTTTACTAGTATTTGGCTTTTAAGATGGTGATCTTTAAAAAGATGTGTTAAGTCTATGCTGTAGTGTTGGCGTAGAAAGCACATATGACTTTGGTTTAAAGTAACTAATTCTAACATTTAAATCAAATTGTTACAATTCATAATTTATAGTGTGTTTTTCCAAAATGAGTTACTTTAGGTTGTTCTACCATGATTGTTTAGTGAGAGAATTTAATAATATTCATTTTAATCTTGGTCTGTGAGGAGATAAATGAATGAAGTATCACTCGGGATATATTTGTTGATAGGCTCAGATAGATCTATTTTAAAAGTCCATCCTTTAAAAAAAAAAACATTGTCTCATTTGGATTTATTTTATAAGAGTTATGTCTTGCCGCTTAATATAGCTTTTAAACTAAGTTATGTGTGGACCAGACTTACTTAAACTGGTAATGAATAGAATAACTTGAATAAGTTGTACTTCAGTAAGTATAACTTACTGAATATATTAATATATTTAAAATTAAATTCTAGTCTTTTGCCAGGTTTTTATTATGATTGATATAGACCCTATCATTTTTATATTTAAATTAATGTCTCTATAAATAAGTCTAAAGGGATTACCTGAAAATAAATTTTTTTTTTTTTTTAAAGATTTTATTTATTTATTCATGAGAGACAGAGAGAGAGAGAGAGAGGCAGAGGGAGAAGCAGGCTCCCAAGGAGCAGGGAGCCCGATGTGGGACTCGATCCCAGGACCCCGGGATCATGACCTGAGCCGAAGGCAGACGCTTAACCATCTGAGCCACCCAGGCGCCCTACCTGAAAATAAATTTAGTATGTCATAGTTATAATCTGGATTATGTTCACTAACAAGTTTTTGATTTATACTATTTAACAGAGAGCTGATATTAGTTTTTCTCAGTCCTTAATATGTGAAGTGGTAAATGAGATATTACATTCCTAATTAATGGCTGTTTTAGTAAATAGTCATTCTACATTAAAAAAATAATAAGGTCAATCACTCTCTTGAAGAGGGCTGTTAGAGATGGCAAGTCATAATTCGTTTTCATAACCTATTTATCCAAGTTGTTATTGGACACTAGCAGGTTGATAGGTATTGACCATGACAGGCTATTACACAGTGATATCTTTAGCTTCACTAATATGTCTTGGCTGAGAGTAATATTTATTTCCACATATATGCTCTCCAGGCTCCTAGGTTTTCCTCTAATATGGTGGTATTAAGGGGAGGCCTGTAATCTAATAAGAGGGGATCAAACAGCAGGTGCAAGAGGTGCCTTTTAATACCAAGTGATTACAGTGGCTGTTTGCTCCAAAATAAATAGTTTACCCTGAAACTATTTTGGTTTACACTGCAGTAGGCTTCCTTAGGAGAGAGATTCTGTTGGTAGAAGACACTATAAGCGTGATGCTGCCAGGAACGTATTCTGTATGATTTAGTCCCTTGGGATTTGAGATCATGCTTTTCTTTATAGATTTCTTTGTAGTAGATTCTCATTTTACTTTTTAATTTTAATTTGGTTTATTTTGTGAATAGATAATAACTACACATACTACAAAATTCAGGGGATAAACACTGAAAAGTCCTCCTCCTACCTCTGTGTCCCTCGGGCTCCCTGGAGACAACTGGTGTTGAAAATTAGAATTTTATTTTTGTTTGAACTTCTGTTTCTTTTATGTTTTCTGAACTGTTGTTTTTTTGTTTTTTGTAAGGATACATGAAATTATTAAGTTTAATTGACATTTGTCTCTTACATGATAAGCATTAAGGAGATAATAACAATGATTTGGGGAGTTATTTTGCAAACTACATTCAAATAAGGATTTTAAATAAAGTAAATTTCTTTATAGTGATCATTTTTCCTTGAGATTTCTAGGTGTATGTTGAGGAATGTAAATCTCATGCCAGAAGATCATTAATCTGATATATAAAAATATCTCATTTCTTTAATGTTTATTTCTTTTGTTAATGAAGTTGAGCATCTTGTCTTATGTTTATGGGCTTATTGTTTCTTTTCCTGTGAATAGTATGGGTTTATGTCCTACCTGTTTTTCTACACTCTTATTCATTATTTTCTCACTGATTTGTAAGGCACTTTTTGTTCCTTTCATTTTTAGGTAGAGTAGGGGGAAATTCACCCATTGTCCTATCTGTTGAACTCATGTTGATCCATCTTTCATGACTTCTAGACGTGTTTTATAGAACGGTTAGAAAGGCCTTTCTAATAGGAGGTTTGGTCAGTTTCATCTTCTAGATTTTTAAATCTGTCTTTGTATCAGTTCTGTTATTCATGAGTTTATTCATCACCTTAATAAACTATTCACTAATTTATTTGCAATAAACCTACTCAGTCCCTCGTGCATGTATACAGTGCATGTATTTAGAATCTACTAAAAGCTACTGTTTTAGGGGCCAGGGCTACGGTGGAGAATAAGACATACAGTTCCTGCTCTTATGGAGCTTCTATTTTAGAACGAGCGAACAGGATAACACCAGCTAAGTGCCATAACAGAGCAGGAAGGTAGGGCTGTGGGAGAGGGTGGCTTTCAGGTGACATTAGATTTGGTAGCCTTGGAATGCCTCAGTGAAGAGATGACATTTCATCTAGAACCAAAGAGATAAGGAGGAACAGTGATGCAGTGATCCTGGACAGGGAACAAGTATAAAGGCTGCACCCATGGTACAGCTGAGGAATAGCAAGGAGGCCAGTGTGGCTGGGTTATGGTGGTGAGGACAGCGTAGGGGGACAGATCATGGAGGTCTTTGGAGATCAGAGCTTGGTGTTGGACCTTATTCCAAGTGTGTAGAAAGCCACTGGAGGATTTTGAGCAGTAGCCGAGTTGTTCACTGTTGCTTCTATGTGAAGAGCGGACTGGGGGCCAAGAGATGCAGCAGGAAACAGCCAGCAGCCCACTGCAAGAGGCCAGCTTAGAGGTGGTGGTGCCTGAGAAAGAAGGAAGAAATGGAGCTAGAGAATGGGAGAGGAGTGCAAAGGTAGAGTTGGCAGAACTTGTGGAGGGTATTTCAGCTCTTCAAATTTATTTTGTTTTAGGATGTATATTTTAAATTAGTAACATTTGTTATTTTTATAATAGCTTTATTGGAATACAATTCACATACCATACAATTTACCCATTTAAAGTATATAATTCAGTAATTCTTAGTCGTATTCACAGAGTTGTGCAGTCCTTGCCACGGATAATTTGAGAACACTTTCATCCCTTGTAGATAGAAACACAGTACCATTAGCATCCGCTCCCCATTTCTCACCAGCTCTCCCCACTCTAGACAACCACCAGTCTACTTTCTGCCTCTATGGATTTGCCTGTTTGGGACATTTCATATCAATGGAACCATACACTGTATGGTCCTTTGTGACTGGCTCTTTTCACTCAACACGCTGTTCTTGAGGTTCAGCCATGTTGTAGATGCATCAGTACTTCATACCTTTTAAAGTCTGAATAATGCCTTGTTGTATGGATATACTTCATTTGTATTAATCCATTCATTCATTGCTAGATATTCAGGTTGTTTTTAGTTTGGAGCTATTATGAATAATGTTGTAAGCTACATTTTTATATCTGTTTACTTTTAAACACAAAATATATTTTAAAACTTCTCTTTCAGTGGTACCCTGTCCTTTGTTTTATAGATTCAGTGTTGTCTCAAATCTCTGAGTATACTAATTATATTTTTAAAAATTCTCTCATTTCTTGCTAGCCTCTGGGCCATTTGGTTTTTCATCTTGTTCCATTTATTTCTAGCCTGATGGGTTTCGTCAAATGATGGTTCTTGTTTGATTATTCTTTCATGTTTAAATTAAGGGAATGGTAAATAGTTGGACCGTATCTCTTCTTCACTTCTGTCTACCTCTGCGAAAGGTCTTTCCCCAAGTGAGCTTGTCTGACTCCGACATTAACTTTCTACCTATTGCATGTTCCTTACTCTGTATCCACTTTTATGGTATTGCTTCATCATATTATAACTGTCTTCTTCACAACTAGAGATTTTAAGAGCAGATGTCATATCTAATTTCATTTTGTATATTCAGCTTCTTTTGCACAATAAATAATAAATGTTGGTTAAATTTCATATCCCATGTAATTGCCATGCATTAAAAATTGTATGTATGTTTTTTTCTAGAGGCGTGGAGCTATTTCCTATGACAGTTCTGACCAGACTGCATTGTACATTCGTATGCTAGGTAAGCAGTATTTATTTTGTACCAATATCCGTTAATTTTGTTATCATGTGGTGTTACTTGAGATTGAGGTAGTTTTCATTTGGTTGGTTCATCGCTGTTTGCAATAGAAATAATCTATTATTCTGAGGTTTAAAAGTCTTGAAACCAATATTGAATGTTATGTGAATAAAGAGAGGCCTTTTAGAGTACTTGAGTCTCTGATTTAATTACTGGGACTCTTATCATTAGTACACAATTTTAAATTGAACTAGAGTATTCTTCATAAAAAAGGGTCCTGATCACATAGTCCTGTCATTGCATGTATTCTCTTCTCACTTGGCTGGCGAGGAAGACTGTTGGTCTTCTCCCAGTCTCAGTTCTTAAATTTTTCTTGTATTACTCAAGTCCATAAAGTAAAATGAATTTAGATTGTGTATATATGTATCATTGTTTTCTCTCTTCACCAGATTTTTCTCCTCATCACATACTCCTTGATCCCTTGTCCTTTAATTCATACTATTAGAAATGTACAATTAAGATTTACTGGAATCTTGCAGATTTACTTCTCTTTTCTTAAAGGAGTCTTCTGTGACTCCTCTCCTCATGCTCAGAATTCCTTCCTCAACTTCTAAGATATTGAGCCATCCATATTCTTCACCTTTCTCTGGGTTTTTTGTTTTTGCCTCTGACTAATTCTTTCCCATCCTCTTAAGCCTAAGTGTTCTCCAGTGCCCTGTTTTTGCTTTTCTTCCTTTTATCCCTCTTTTTTTTTTTTTTAATTTATTTATTTGACAGAGACAGAGATAGCGAGAGCAGGAACACAAGCAGGGGGGGAGTGGGAGAGGGAGAAGCAGGCCTCCCGCCGAGCAGAGAGCCCAGTGCGGGGCTCGATCCCAGGACGCTGGGATCATGACTTGAGCTGAAGGCAGCTGCTTAACAACTGAGCCACCCAGGTGCCCCCTTTTTTCCCCTCTTTAATTTACCTTGTGTGTCTGCCTCAACTCCATTCTACTGTAATATGTATTTTTTCCTCACTAGTGTGTGGTCTTTTCCTCTTTACTCTCTCTGTCTCTCTACAAACACATTTGGGATTCTGCTCTCCTGAAAACAACTTTAGACTCCTTTTTTTTTTTTTTTTTTTAAACTCTGTAGAACATCTCCACATGAGTGTATTGTGGGTACCTGACATTTAATTGAGCAGCAGAGGCACATAGGTAGAGGCAGGGAGACTAGCTAAGGAGCGAGAGCAAGAACAAAACATTTGTGTTCCCGGGGCGCCTGGGTGGCTCAGTCATTGGACGTCTGCCTTCGGCTCAGGTCATGATCCCAGGGTCCTGGGATCGAGCCCCACATTGGGCTCCCTGCTCCGCGGGAAGCCTGCTTCTCCCTCTCCCACTCCCCCTGCTTTTGTTCCCTCTCTCGTTGTGTCTCTCTCTGTCAAATAAATAAATAAAATCTTTAAAAAAAAAAAAAATTTGTGTTCCCAGGTCTGTTCATTTTTCAGTCTTTTGCCATCTCAGCACATAACTCCATTCTTCTGGTTGTCAGATCAGAAGGCTTCAAGTCATTTTTGACTCTTATTTCTTATCCACTTCATGTCTACTTCATCAGCAAATCCTCTTGGCTGATACCTTCAAAGTATATCCAGAATTTCACCACCCTTGATGCTGTTACCATCGCGATCTGAGCCATAGTTATCTTTTTTATTGTTAATTATAGTCACATTGTTGTACATTAGATCTGCAGAACTTACCCTGCATAACTGACACATGGTTCCCTTGAACAGTATCTCCCCATAGCCACCCCCCACCAACCCATAGATTGCTTCATTTCTTACACTTGCTCCTTAGCTAGTCTCCCTGCCTCTACCTATGTGCCTCCGCTTGATTCTAGTTTATGTGGCCAAAGTGAACCTTTTGAGAACTAAGTTAAATCAGTCTCACTCCTCCATTCAGAATCTTCTGATGGTTTTCTGAGATGAACAGCCAGAGCTATTATGATGGCCCACAGAGGTCCAGCATGAACTGGCCCTACCACCTCTCTGACTTGACTTCTCCCTCACCTCAGTCCATCCATGCTGGCCTCTTTGCTTGACCTTGAACATGCCAAGCATGCCCCCCATCTCAGGGTATTTTATTTATTCTTTGTTATGCCTGGAAACCTCTTCCTCCAGATAGCCACATGGCTCACTGCCTCACTTCTTTCAGGCCTCTGCTCAAATACCTTTTTTTCAATGAGGCCTTCTCTGACCACCCTAGTGAGTCCATTCTCCCCTACTTCTTCCCCCCCCTCCCCGCCCCTGCCATTCTTCTTTCCTTGCTTTAGTTTTTTCCAGGTTACTTATTACCATCTTCCGTAGAATGAAATCCTTACTTGTTATATTATTTATTTCCATGAAAGGATAAGCTTCATGAAGCCGGGGACTTTATGTGTTTTGCTCACTGCTATACTTGCAGTGCCTGACGTGTGGTGGCTGTTCAGTAAGAATTTGTTGCAGGGTGAAGGAATCGCCACATGAGAGAGTTGATTAATCACTATGGGATGACATGAACATTGAAGGAAATGATGGCCTTACTTAGAGAAACGAGTGAGCCAGGAAGGCCTTCTAGGCAAGCACAATTCAAGGGCACAGGCGGCAGGGATGAAGACCTAAAGGTTATGAAGTTGGAGGCTGTGGAAGTATAGTGGGGAAAGTGCTGTCTTTGGAGTCCACAGAGTAGGTTTGTATCCTGACTCACCCTTTACTAGCTTTATGGCATGGGCAGGCTACTTAACTTCTCAAAGTCTCAGTTTCTTCATCTGTAATGGGGACTAAGATGCCTACCTCCCAGAGTTGCTGAGAGAATTAAATAAAATAGTGCCTATAAGGCACAAAAGAGTGTCTGGTACATGCTTCCAGTGGTTATTTTGCTGTGTGGAGAAGTAGATCTGAAATTCATATGAATACATGTAGAAGAAACAATACTGAGCTTATACAGGCCAAAGTTTAAGACCCAACTAAAGTCCTTGGGTGTATGTCCACTATCAATGAGAAAAGAGAAGATTGATCAAATTAAACATTTAAGGCAAAATCTTTAACATTTTATTTTTCTGTACATTCATAAAATTTTAAGGTGCTTAAGAATGGGTCATGTATTTTCTTTCATATCTCTTATAGTCTAGTATGGTGGTGGGCAAGGGGTAGACACTTAATATTTTTCTCTCTGGATTTTTAGAGTTTTGTGCTGAGGATTTTAATTAACTCCATGTGAATAATAAGATATTAGGTTCAACTGTCATATACTTGTCATGTTTCCGAATGCTAACTTTAAAATTTAGATAGTAATTATTATTATTATTATTATTATTGTAGAGGTAGATTAAAAAAAGAAGTCCACCTAGCCATACAATTCAATATTGAAAATTTGTAAATCCCTTTAAATAGATCAGCTGTTAACTACTTACTCCATAAGTACTTAGTGGGCCAGTACTTATGAGTATGATACCACATAAACCTTTGTTGCATATGGGAGCTTCTTCCCAAAATGGCAGCCTTCTAAGTTTATTTTTTCTTGATTTTGTCCAGGAGATGTACGTGTAAGGAGTCGAGCAGGATTTGAATCAGAAAGAAGAGGTTCTCATCCATATATTGATTTTCGTATTTTTCATGGTAAGTGTTGGCATATACAGTATTTCTCTTAGGCTTTCAGTAAACTTCAGATTTTCATAAACTTATGTAATTTTTCAAAGGAAAAAAAAGTTATGTTTGGAATGTTTTAAAAAACATTGGGTCATGATAAATGACACTTTATTTCTAGATAATGTTGGTAAATGCTTAGAGGCAATTAGAATTGTAAAGTATAAAATATGAAAGCTGATATAGTTTTTCTTCTCCTTTCCAATTTAAATGTGAAATTACTTTGGTACATTTTTTTCTTCTTGAAATGTGTGTGTGTGTGTGTATGTTTGAAGTTGTTTTATTCCATATGTTTTGTCTTCACTACTCTAGATAAAATGTTTTTGTGCAAATGACATTTTATAAGGTATTTTCATAGTTAACAAGGTGTATCCTGGTTTATTTGAAAATACACTGCCACCTTTAAAGATGTTTCATAGAATGCATATTTTGAAAACAAACATTGTGTGGGTCTGGCCCACAATGGAGAAAATGGAAAAAACAGAACTTCTAAAACCCTTAAATAGTAAACACATTATCTGTTTTTGGAGGAGCTCCACTTTTGGAAATGTTGGATAAATTATTTGCATTAACACTCCATTTAAAAGAAAAAAAACAAGAAAAACTGGACAAAATATGGAAGACATGTATTTGAGTATATCAGAATGCTGTTAAGACAGAGATGAATCTGGCATTTGGGCTACTTTCCCCCTTAGTAGCATCTGTCAATTCTGGGAAAGGTGGATGAGAAGCTGAGCAGAGTTTCTGATGGACACTTAAGACTAAAAAAAACAAAAACAGCTGTTGATATCCCACCAAGGTTGGGGCATTTGTCCTGGTAAACCCTCTGTGCTCCATTTGGAACCCCAAAGTACTGTACCTTAGAAATAAATCCCAGCTATGAAATGTCTCAATCCGTGATTAGATCAAGGTGATCTGTGATTTGTACCTCTAGCCACCTACTTGAGGTAAATGTTAATCCTCTTTGAAGGAAGGTAACATTACCCTGAGTCTCAGATTACCTCTAAATTTTTCATATGCAATATCAAGCACTGAATTAAAAATAAAAAAGGCAAAAGGAGATAAGACAGTGTGATGAAAAATGAAAAGGAAACAACAGTAGAAACATCCATAGGAAATTCTAATGATGGGATTATTTTACATGAGCTTCACAATAACTAAACATAATTTGCTGATGGGGAAAAAAGACCTGATTAAGAATTTCAGTAGAGGACTGCAAATTGTGAAGAAAAAAAAAAAGAAATGGAAATTTAAGACTGAAAAATAACATACCTTTAATAAGAACTCACTGGAGATGGTGTTAACAGCAAATAAGACCAAAATGCAGAGAGAATTAGTGGATTGGGATATTAGGTCAGAAGGAAATAATTTAGAATGAAATACAAGCAAAAGATAGAAAAGACATATAGAATATGTTCTAGTTGTCAGTTGCTCTATATCTGTCAAGAATCGTGAAGAATCTTAAGATTTTACCTTATAAGTTAACAAATAAATTAGCCTGTAATTGCTTCCTGGGTGCTGGCGGAAGACACAAGACTCCTAGGTCAGAGACAAATGACTTTATTATTCATGGCATAGCAAGCAACATGAACATAATATTATGTCAGTTCTTCTAGCTCCAGCACATCCTGCAGTGGCAACACGGAGGGTTTTATGTGGATACTGTGCACACAGTGAATTTGCATTACCTCCACGAACTTGGGGAATATACCCCTTTTACAGTAATACTGCTCTTTGTCCCAGAAAAAGATGTTACTTATCCCTCAAGGTTGCTAGCTGCAAACACAAGAAATGGCCTGGATAAGGACCTGGTCAGAGCTTGGGATTCTTGTCACACCCAGCAAGAATGTGCAGGGACACTCAGGAGTGTCCTCTGTGGAGGATTACTGCTCCCAGTAGTAACAAATGACTCCAAACTTACTGGCATAAAGCAAGAGCTTTTTTTTTTTTTTTATGTTCATGATTCTGAGGGTCAGGAATTTAGTCAGCATATCTGCTTCAATTTGTCTGTGTTCCACAGTGTTTTGATCTTCAACTAGGGTAGTTCAAACAGCTAGAGAGAGCTGGGATGGCTCCACGAGGTCTGTGTATCTGGAGCCTTGTTTTTTCTCCACATGTCCTCTCCTGGGGCTGGAACATCTAAGATGACTTCTGCACTCTTATATCTGGTGCCAGGGTAGGGTGGCTGGAATTTCTGGGGCTGGCCAGCATTTCTTTCTTTCCATAAATGGCAGTGTCACAGGAGTTGGACCTCTTCCATGACAGCTGCTGTCTTGCCCCAGAGCAAGCATTCAGAGAGAGAGGAAGTATGGGAACACCTGGTCCCTGACGATATGGGCATGGACACTGGCGCAACATCACATTTTCATATTCTTTTTATCAGCTGTGTGACACAGCTTGCCCAGATGCATGCAGAGGGGACATAGATCCCACTTGTCAAAGGGAATAAGGTCAAAAATGTCAATCTTCTATCCTTAATCTGGCACCAAATGTGTTGAAAAGGTCTTTAGGGTCCCAGGAAAGGAATAGGAAATTAGAGTAAAAATAGTCTTTGAAAAGATGATCAAGTTATCTCTAAAGCTTGATAAAGCACATTAAGGTACAGATTCAAGAAGGATTATGAATCTTAAGTACAGTAACATTAAAAGAAAATCACAGTGTATTAGCATAGTATAACTGAAAACCAAAATCAAAGAGAAATGCTTTCACTCATATGTGGAATTTAAGAAACAAAACAAACGAACAAAGGGGGAAAAAAAAAAGAGGGAGCAAACCAAGAAACAGACTCTTAACTATAGAGAACAAACTGATGGTTACCAGAGGGCAGGTGGGGGGATTGGGGCAATGGGTGAAACAGAAGATGGGGATTAAGGAGTTCGCTTGTTGTCATGAGCACCGGTGATGTATCGAAGTGTTGATTCGCCATATTGTACACCTGAAACTAATATTACACTGTATGTTAACTAACAAATTTAAATAAAAACTTAAAAATATATATATGGAGCATTTTAAACTTGAGAATAAGCTCTTTTCCAAAGTGGAAAAGTAAAGTAAATTAATTAATTTTAAAAAAAAGTGAAAAGGAAAAAAAAGTAGTGAGAGAGAAAGAAAATTATTACCTTCAAAGGAACAGCTATGAGATTGCCAGAAACAGATTCTGTTTCGTTTTCAACAGAAACTAAGAAGCTAGAAGACAAAGGAAAGATAGCTTCAGAGTGATGGAAAAAAATAAATGTCAAACTAAAATTTCACCCACAAACAAACTCTTCTAGAGAATAAAGGAAAAGGACATACTTCATAACTTATTATGTAAAGCCAGCATAATCTTGATACTAAAACCCGTCAAGGATATGACAAGAATAGGAAATTATAGCCACTATCACTCACAAATATAGATGAAACATTCTGAGTAACATACTATCAAATTAAATCTGCAGTTTATAGGAAAAAATATATTTGACCCAATTTGTATTTTCCCGGAAATATAAGGTTGGCTTAACATTCAAAAACCAGTCGTTGTAATTCACGGTATTAATAGAATAAAGGAGAAAAGTCATGGAAAGACCAGTATATAGAGATATCATTTATTACCTTTTCTATTCAATGTTGTTTTGGAGTTTGTAGTTTTCAGTACAATAATTCAAGGAAAAGAAAGAGAAGATATAATGATTAGGAAAGAAGTATATAAGTGTTATTATTTATGGATGACATGATTATGTACTTAGAAAACTATTAGGAGGAATAAGTGACTGTAGCAAGTTTGCTTGGTACAAAGTCAGTACATAGTTGTATTTTTATAAAGCAGCATTGACAAAAACTGAAATAACAATTTAAATTTATATCAACAAAAGATCAAATATGTAGGGATCAGTCTAACAAAAGATGTGTATGACTCTGCGTAGAAAACTGCATAGAGGGGAGCCTGGGTGGCTCAGATGGTTAAGCGTCTGCCTTCAACTCAGGTCATGATCCCGGGGTCCTGGGATCGAGTTCCGCATCGGGCTCCCTGCTCTTTGGGGAGCCTGCTTCTCCCTCTGCCTCTCTCTCTCTCTCTGTCTGTCTCTCATGAATAAATAAATAAAATCTTAAAAAAAAAAAAAACTGCATAGAAAAAAGATACTACAGAGGAAAAGAAGACCTAAATAAATGGAAGTATATACTATTGTTCATGGGTTGGAAGATTCAGTATTTTTTAAGATGTTAGATTTCTTGAATTGACCTATAGATTTAGTGAAATCACAGTAAAAATCCCAGCAGGTTTTTTTTCTCTTTGGTTGAATTGACACACTGATTATAAAATCTATATAAAAATTGAAAAAGCCTAGGGGTGCCTCGCTGACTCAGTGGAGCATGTGATCCTTGATCTCAGGGTTGTAAGTTTGAGCCCTGGTTTGGGTGTAGAGATCACTTAAAAAACAAAAACAAACAAAAAAAAAAACTTAAAAAAAAAAAGGAAAGGAAGGAAGAGCCCAAATTAGTCAGGACAATCAGAAAAATAAGAACCATGTTACAGAAGTTACTCCTCCTAGGGGTGCCTGGGTGGCTTAGTCAGTTAAGTGTCTGACTCTTGATCTCAGCTCGGGTCTTAATCTCAGGGTCATGAGTTCAAGCTGCACGCTGAGCATGGAGCCTACTTAAAAAAAAAAAAAAAAAAGTTACTCTTCCCAGATATAAAGACTTATTACAAACCATAGTTATAATTTTAAACTAGGGTGATATTGGTTCAAAGCCTGACAAATAGGATAATAAAACAATGGTAAAGTTCAAAAACAGATTCACACACATTGTGGGATTTTGATTTGTGACAAATATGGTAATGCAGCCTGGAAAAGATTACTTTTAAATAAATGGTGTTGAATCAGTTGGCTACCCATTTGGGAAAAAAATTAATCTTGACCCCTTATTCACACCATACATGAAAAAATCAAATTTGGGTGTATTTAGTTTTCCAAATTATACTGATAAGTCAGATA